GCTGAGAAAAAGCGACAGGTCCACTCTCATCGGCTACAGCATCCTACGTCGGAGAATGAGGAGGCTTACCGCAGCCTTCGCTCGGAGATTCGGAGGGCCATGAGGCGCTGCAAGGATGGGTGGTGATCGCGGGTTTCTGGGGAGATGGAGTCTGCCTCAATGGCCCACGATCACAAATCACTCTTTAACTCCATCAAAAAGTAACCTGCAGCGCCATACCTATTACCATCATTGGAGAAAAGAACGGTGATCCAATCTCTGACCCCCAGGAAAGGGTTGCAGATTTGCTGAGCATTTACATGAGGTCCTGGAGGAGGGGAAATCTCTCAGCCTGGAAAACAATGTGAGACAAAATGGGGATGACCCTGCTGAGGCTGCGATGCCTCAAATATTGGATGAAGTCACCCCCTGTGAGTGGCTGGCTGAGGTTCCATCTGTTGAGGAAGTATTGAAGGCGATTCGGAGTCTGAGACCAGGAAAGGCACCGGGCAGAGATGATTTCCCAAGAGAAATGCTAAGGGAGGGTGGCATTTGTGCACAGACTGCCCTACATGACATCACAACAACAGTCTGGACCACTGGACGGGTTCCGCAGGATTGGAAGGATGCCCTGGTGGTCCCCCTCTTTAAGAAGGGGGGACCGCACAGACTGTAACAACTACAGGGACATCTCACTCCTCAGTGTGCCGGGAAAGGTCCTGGCAAGAATTATTCAACATCGCCTTGCTAGGCACGCTGAGGAGAGGCTTGCGGAGCCCCAATGCAGTTTCAGGAAAGGGCGGTCCTGCACAGATGCCATATTTTCTGTCCGTCTGCTACAACAGAGGTGTAGGGAATTCCAACAAGACCTACATCAGAGGAGCGATATCAGAGAAGTGATATCAGAGAAGTGATATCTGATGGGAAATCTTGAAAGTAACTTCTTATCCACACTCAGGGGCACTGCACTTTCCCATGTGCCATGGTGCACAGAGCAACGTTCGTCCCATGGCAGTCAGACCAAAGGTTGTGTGGATATTTCCTCCATAAATGGAAGATCAGGGACTCTGCCAAACTGCAAATGCGGTGAGGTGCAAACCATCAGGGCGCACATCACTGATGACTGCCACACTCTGGTGGAACAAGCTGACTATTCTACTCAGCTACCACCCAGGATGCCGTGGAATGGCTCACCACATGAACAATACATCGGTAGCCTGTTGCTTTTATCAAACGTACCACGAACCTGATGACTGATCCATAGTTACATGTCGAGCAAAATCTGCATGCATTGGGTTCTGCCATCATCACATGAAACCAAACTGCTAACACCATCATTCCCACTGTGCTTGTACAGGAACACAGGACAATACGCTGCATATCCGACCGCCATATATCTACCTTGACCAATTAACCGGCCACACTCAGAACGGTATTTCTGCAGGGTCCAAACTGTCGTTGTCTATGGATGTTGACAAATCTGACATTTTCACGAACAGTGATGCGTTCTTAATTTTGCGAACATTTACTCGCTTTTAAAGTGCATTCAGGAATTTCCATAGATGTTCACATATCTGACCTTTGTACTGTAAGTTTTACACATCTTTCAAATGAAGGTACAACAACAACCAACATTCGCCACTGAGTGCCGGTGCCGTCACCACGGCGCTTGCGCCAGGCCATGTGCACTTTAAGGCCACGTGAAGTGTCGAACACCCGCTGGCAGGAGTTCACGGGACAGACCCGGTGCCATGGGTTGACTTACTGAGATGACTGGACGATGCACCACCCGTGCCCCTGACTATGCCAACTTGCTGTAGCCACCCGGCGCTCCGATCGTTGTTGTGAAGCGTCCCTCCTCTGCGCTCCGTTGTTGCTGGAGGTCGACTGCCTCCAACTGCCCAGATGCTTCCTTCATGAGCTTCCTCCACAGAGGCCGATCTTGACACCGTTTGCACTAGTAATATGCAAGTCCACTCCGTTCCACATCCTCTCGTGCCACATCATTCCATCTCTTCTCTCGCCCGTGCCGCGCCCGTTTAACTCCCTAAACGGGAGCGGCACCTTGCCATTAATAATGGTACAGTACCATTATCAAAGCCAGAGGAGTCAACCTGTCTTCAGGAAGGAGGCATTTGATTACACGTTTGAAACGTGGTCATAATATGGGGTTACAGGGTCCCTGCGTGTGAGGCTCTGAACACAGTGGCTTGTCACTCGTAAAACACGTGACTACACTCCAACGCTGAAAGTTTCACATTTGGCCCACAAATGTGGGCTGCATAAAAATCAACAACAAAAAAACCTCATTTGGCCCCAATCGAAATTCAAGAGGGAAAAAAAGCAGTCGCAGCTTCATATAGAAGCCAGCGGGAAGTTTCGAAATGAAGAGCACTTGTGACATTGGGAGAGAGAGAAGAAAATAAATCAAGAGGACAAAAGAAGACGTTTCTGTCTGGGTAGTTAAGGGTCTGTTTGCGAGGGACGAGAGGGGAGGGGTGAGTGAAGTAAAAGGATAGAGGGGAGAAGGGGTGGGCGCGGACTGCGCTTTGGCACAAACGCAGTGAGTGTGCAATGGGCAACCCCTTTGAGGAGGCTTACTTATCACACGTGACCAAAAGCAGGAAACCGCCACGCTAATCCCACCTCAAAACCCGCGGGTTCCTCTTCCAGCACTGGCAGGACGGCGGGATACATCAAAGTAGCCCAGAGGAGCGAGAGGCAGGAAACAGACAACAAAGCGGTGAAGGGGCTGCCCCATCCACCCAACATCCCCAGTCAGTCGTTCTGTTTCCATCTGCACAGAGAGTCGTGCCCAACGTGTTTCACGATGTGGTGCTGGTTCGAATCTTGAGCTATCAGCTCCTCATGGAAAGGTGCTTCCGGTGTTGTTGTTGTTGTTGCTGTTTCGTAAAGTCCTTTTGTTTACACCATTTGAACCTCATTTGCCAGTAGCAAAATATGACAGTTGGTTTTTTACCCTTTTATCTGGCAACAAAACTGACACCTTTTTTACAAGGAGTCATGTTTGCATTGAGCACAATACCTGCGGTCATAATGCAAACAAAAGCATAACTCTGATAATGTATGCACTGTCCTTGAAATTGATTGGTCCACACCCGAGACAGCTTTCTTTAGAGCCTGGTCTCACATGGTGTTAGACCAGATGACGCCAAAAGGCGCACAACTCAAGGACAATGCACCATCAGAGTATGAGAGCTCGGGGTAAGCATTTACACCATTGGAACCTAATTTGCTAGATAAAAGGGTAAAAAAAACAATTATCATCCTTTTGTATATTCGAAGTGCTGCACGCGAGTGTGTTTGGGAGGTGGGCAGGGGAGGCACATCTTTGGCGGAGTGGTTCGTGCACTGGGCTATTGTAATCCGGGTCACCTGGGTTTCAACGCTGGCCATGTACATTATTGGCAATTGGTATCTGGACCTGGGCAGGGCCATCCCTTTAACTAACTCAGCCAAACGTACCTGCTGGTGTTGTGTGTGCAAACACGAGGGCACTGTGAAGACACATATGCCTAGGAATTGATGTTTTTACTAAATTTTCCTTACAAGAATCCGGGTAAGACGTATGGGTTTACAGGTATGATATGGTGCTCTAACAGAACGTTGATATATATATTATAATGACAATGGAGAGGGGTCTTTTGTCTAGATGTTCGCACGACCACAATCTCTGTGACACGAAGTTCATCTCCTAACCATTCACATCATCAGAACATGAGATTGTATTTAAACTTTGGCCTGTGCCTCCGTTCGCAAAACAAGACAATAATTTTAATACACAATATTGTGTGACATCATCATTGGAGAGACCAAGGGGGCTATGCGTAATGATGCCCTCCCCTCTCTCAATACCCACCGTGGCCTCGTAACTGACCTTGGGCAGAATGCACCTTTGCAGGGCATAAGTCTGGAGGCGGTGCGGCATGCAGGATGAAATGTTGTGTGTAGGTAAAGATTACACTTTGAAAACTTTACATGACATTTAGTGCAAATGTTGGCTCAATTGCTCTGTTGTAAACTAACAGATAAAGTCTCTGTAATTTGTTCCCACGTTCTTCTCAAACATTGCCAAGTCACTTGACGGATGTAATTGGTTAACATCGTTTTAAATGGGGGCATACTCAGGAGTTGTGGGTGTATGACAATGTTAAACAACCTTGAAACAAATGTTAATCGGTGATCAGAATGAGCAATGATGCAATCTGCTGTTGTCTATCATTGTGGCGAAATGGGAATTCATGTAAGAGTTATTGTAAATATTACGTCAATATGAGTGTTTAACAGGGGATTGAGTTCACCAATAAAACACCCCTCACTTAGAACATGGGTATGGATCTACCCATAAGACACCCCTCACGTATGAACATAGCATGGTCAGATAGATAAAACACCCCTCACCTAGAACACGGGAATGGTTCAACCTATAACACACCCCTGACGAAGGGCACAGAAGTGGTACGGCCGATATTGCGTGACTAAGCCGTGTGGAGGAGAGAGGCGAGGCATTTTCTCAAAGAAGAATCCTTTTGATATTTGGGCTATGAGGACAGGCGTAAGTAGTTTAATTTAATACAGTAATTGTAATATGAAAAGTGTTATTGCACAAAGAATGCATATAATGGGGGAAACTGTGCCGTGTACTTATATAGCAACAAAATGTTGATTACGATTTAAAATATTACACCAAAAGATGCATACATTGGGTGAATAATTTATTAGGGAAAAGTTATGTTCATGTGTTAAGATGTTGATTCTATCTGGAAGTGATTCCCAACAGATAGTATGAGGATGTAATTGGAAAAAGTAGTCGGCTTAATATTGTGGGAAGAGGAATGTTGAAAGATGTAATGGGGCTCTGTACAAGTGTGATGACTCTCGGACAACACGAACTGTGGAGGGTCGCTTTATTTCTTATTAAGGGTGCTTCACGCATATAACTTATCCAGAGATGGCACGCAGATAACTTGGGCCAGGGATGGCACGCAAGTGATGACGACGCGAAGACAGTCGACCCCGATCCAACGGCAGCCCCGAACCTTGCCTCTCGCCTCCTTTTATCCCCCGGCGTGGCCCTCACTCCGCGCCCAACCACGCCCCCATTCTCGAACTCCCTGGCCCGTTCCCGAACTTCCCAGATGACCTCCCCCTTGTAACAACTCGGCCTCTATTAATATCAACCCCTGTAATTACTACTCGTGACCGCTAGGCCACGCACTGTCCCTGCACCCGCAGTCACCACACACGCACTGTCTCTACGTGAGAATTTTTTATTCCGATCAACTATTTGGGACATGGTGCGCTTCATTGTCACAGCTGCACTGTGTGGAGCAGAAGCCAATGAACGAGAGTCTGAAAGGGAGGTGGTGACTGCCGAGAGCGTCATCAGGAGCCGTCAGGCCATGCGAAAGGACTTAAAAGAGGGCTTCCCCTATTCACAGGAAGAGGGCCATTGGGTTTCCTGCTCATCTTTAGGATGCCCAAAAATCCATTCCACGACTGCAAATATGGCTGTCTTGGTAGCAACTACGTCGTTGTTACAGATACAATGAAAGTTGCGTCACTGTCTTGTGTGAACTCACAGCAGAGGAGTGAGGTGTGCAAAACTGGAGTGTTGATTTGCTGTCAAGCATAGAGAGGTTTCACGTGAAATCGTTGTCCCACGGAGTTCTTGATTCCTGTTGTTCATACTTGATGTTTTATGAGATAAACGGCTGTTGGATTACAAGTGCATCCACGTTGACATTACTGCGTTAGGGGATTGTAAGTCAAGCTACTCTTAACAGAAACATGGAGCTACTGAATTTATGTCTGTTACCTGTCGACCCACGCTTTTGTTATAACCTTGCCACAACTGGCAAAGTGTGTACCCGGGGGCATGGATGATGGGTCAAGCGCACGGAGCCACGGCCCCCACTTTCAAAGTGAAAGGCCATCGTTTATGGCTTCAGCACAGGAAAGATCTGGCGCATTTTAAACTTGTCGTGGAAATGAGGCATGAGGTACTATTGGGAAAAAAAATTAGGAGGGGAAAAAAAAACTTGGTGTTCTGCCTAAAAAGCATGTTTTGTGGCTTGGACCTTATGGGCCAGACCATTGGTCCGCACACTAAGTCATCCCCTTCTGTTTAGAACGGCATTCTGTTTTGCTCCTCCCTCATGCTTCTTGCCTTGACCCCCAGTGCATTGCCAGGTCTTTTTTTCTCTAAAGGGAAAAACTCGCATCTGTGAGAGCCATTAAGAGAAAACACACATATGTGCCTGTGTGTGTATGCGTGGAATCCATTACTGAAGTTATATCCTTGTTTTGAGCTGATACTTTGTTTTCATCATCGGCATAATCGTCCCTGCACTTTCATAAATGGGTCTCATTGAATATAACAAATGTTATTCACATGTAATGCATGAAATGGATACAACCAGACAGGAGCGACTGATATTTAGCCCTGCTGTTTAGGACTCTTGATAAATTACCTTAGTTGACTGCCCTCAAGGTGGCACAATTCTTTTGACCTCAGCGAGATGATGGCCCGAGTTGATCCGCAACAAGAAATTAAAATTGCAACATTCTAACTGCGAGTCAAAGCGATCTAACCAAGAATCCCGGGCATCCTGAATGTGTCCTCATTTAACTTAGTTTGTAGTGGCCCATGGCTCTTTGAAACTCCGACAGCAGAGAAGCAACCACGGCAATACTGTCAATCCACTGCTGAATGATGGCTTCCCTGTGTCGCATTGGTCAGATGAATTTGGGCCCAAGTTCACCATTTTGGTCTTTGAGGGTTGGTCAAGGGGGGCCAGGTCAGGTCCAGGTATTACTCACAATGGATGTTGGTCAATCAACGACCAAGAGTGGCACAACACACGAGGGATTGGTGGGGCCAAACCATGGGCAAGAGCCTTTGTCTCTCCAATATTGATGTCTCTATTAAATCGCTGCACCAGGTGTTAATTTAAGGCTGAGCTGACCTAGCAAGAGGCATGGAACAGGTTCTTCACATGCCAAGTTCCACTGACGCAGTGCAAAAACCCAGGCCGTCAGGATCGTAGTGGAGTGTGCTAGTTCCTACGCCCCACTCCCACACTGCACAGACACAGACCCACACACACACAGACACGCACACTAAGCTCTCAGGAAGTCACACACTCATGCCAGCACATGGAGCACTGTCCAAAAATTCCTAGAATAACTTGGACAGTTGTGGTCAAGCAAACGTAAGTCAAGTGAGAAAACATAGAGTGCATGCCGATTTAAAATGTTTCTATATGCTCTATCCAGACAAAAACACGCACACACACACCAAGATTTCTCAATTTAGCTGGATTGATTGTTGAAGGCAAATGATATTTGTAAACACGTATTCAGACTGGTCGTGTGGGGTGCCGAGTTCAGAACCAAGTATGCACATGTTGACAAAACCATGAAGCCAGGCACTACTCTTTCTACGTTGAGGCCTCCTTAGAGCAAGCCCAACTGATGCTCATATACACCATTTACCACGATTTGAACATGGTTAGGAATTGAACTTTGCTTGCCAGGACTGTAACGCAGCACACGGACCAATACACCACGCACCGTTCTCAGAACGCACGCAATTCACCTATACCAATACAAAGACCACCGGCTTTGCCTTTATGGACTGTTGGGAGCAAGTAGTCTTGAAGAGCAACTATTAAGACCTACATGGTGTCAGCGGCGGCTCAGAGGTCAAGCGGTGAGCTGGCACCGTTCAAATCTGGGCATTCGCTCAAATGATCAAACCGAGTTCTTGAAGTCTAGAAAATTGACATCAGCCCAGTTACCAATGACTACACAAAAACCGACCAATAGTTTTATTTTTGCACTTCAGATTTGACTAAATTCAATCTCTTAGAACTACAATTCTGTTTTACTTTCATGCTACAATCTCATAGCAGAGCTTTGTGAGAAAGTGTGCCCTTTCAGAAGCCCTGTGGAAAATCTCTTCCATGCGCCTTATCTGACACGCGCAGTGAGGTTTCTCAATGGATTCTTTGTTTCATGACGTGATGCCAAAAACACAATGTGGAATACATGGCTAGAAAACGTGGGGGGAGGGGAGAGACCTACATGGCACAAGAGGGTAAGAGATGTGGCCAACACAACACACGGCCATGTCGCCTTCGTTTCCCCGGTGCTCATATGTCCACATGAAGCAGTTACTCGTTTCAAGTCTTTCAATTTACGTAGGGGGAGACCTATACTTATCCTAAAGTAATTCATATAGCGCCTTAACCAAGGAACTTTACAGAGAGTTAAGAATGGTACATATGCATGTAATGGTGGAGATGAGGTGAATGAAATAGATGAGAGGAAGCAATGGGCGAATCTGCGATTCGTGAATTCAGTGGAAACGAAATTGATGACAGTGATTGATGATGGATTGAATTAATGGGGAATGAGTGATAGCCATAGTTAGTTCTGATAGCACCACACACTATTTGCTGTGGAATGGAAATCACACTCGGGCCACCGCATTTGTAGCACGAAACCACTGCGCCCACGTTCCCCAAACAACAACAACCGCCATTCGCCACTAAGTGGCGGTGACGTCACCACGACGCTTGTGCCAGGCCATGTGCACCTTGTTCCCCAAACACACGCATGGCCACACACACGCACAGAGGCCATCCAGCCCTCCAGGATTGTACAGAAAAAAACCTCCAGCGCACACAGAATGAACGGCTGAAAAGCGTTTCGAACACACATCGGTTACGAATGCAGAGATACATGGCATGCCACCAACAGTAATATAACTGTACAGTTCAGAATGGAATGCCAGCAGAGCGGCGCATGGGAAACCAGGAGCTGAGCGAACGTGTCCCTATGTTTGGAAGACACTCGAAAATAACGCCACTAGGGCGCAGCTGCACAGGCATAGGCCAAAGATAGTTCAATGACTTTGGTGACCCGCAGCAAAGGACGCGTAGGAATGTAGTCTATAAACATTAGGAAGAGAGAGTTAATTTACAGTACTGGGCCTGGTCGTGGGAGGCAGGCAACGGTCCAAGTAGGAGGCTGCTTGCGAGGCCCCCCCCACCCCCCCCCCCGAGTCGCTTACGGAGGTCGTGACCGCCTGTCGCGAACCCTGAAGCGACCAAATCAAGAGGCTCAGGCACGCCCAGGCCAGGAGGTGTTCTTGCTGCTGCCAGCGTTAAAGGGGCCGACCTGGGAGAATGCATCCTGGGTACGATGGACAACTGAATGCGGTAATGGTGTCACCTGAAAAACTCTGGTTGGGGGGATGGCAATGGGAAATGACGACGACTACGCTTCCTGATGGCTCAGAATATTGGAGAGTGCGCGGACGACGTTCACAGAAACCCTTCAGTGTTTTTGTTTGGAGGGGAGGTTGCCCAGAGAAAGCCTTTCAAGGGGGATTTTGTCGAGATATTCAAATTTGGGATCTCGAATGCAAGAACAATGTTAAGACCAGGAAAACCGAAGAACGTTAAAGAAAGAAATGTAAAACCCAAGACTGAATATACAGGATTGTGCAAAGTGAGGTGGAACGAATCAGGACAGCTGTTTATGAAACGAGGATAGATGTCTGGAATCTAACCCAGGAACTCTGCAGGGCCAGATTAGTGCTCCAACCATGGAAACCACCCAGCTATCTCCAAACACACACTTTAATTACAGCCTGATTCATCCCAGGTCACCCTTGTGCAAGAGACTAATTATCCCAATAGGCTCTCCACCCTGTATGAGTAAAGACCACCGGTTGAAATGCCAATGCTGTATATATGAACCCTGCGAAGATCACACGAACAGCCTTCTATTGCACCAAGGCCTTGAGGTGCCAGCGTCGGAGATGTCCTAGTGAGGCCACTCGCACTTCTGTGGGCTGCTCTGCGGGGCTTTCAGGCACTTCTTCAGCAGCTCGCATCCGGGAGGTGCCCAATTCTGTGACACACATGCGCACAAAAATACAAAGATCCCCTGTTGTAGCCTAAACAGACTGTCGAGGCAAGTGCTGTTAGCGAGTAGCACCTACGAGGTGCTGGCACGGCACACGAGGGGGTGGGTGAGTGGCCAGCACCATGCCCGACTGCCTTTGTCTGCCTAGTGGCGATGTATACACACTGCACCAGGTTATAATTTGAGGCCGAGTCGGCCTAGGGGAGGCCCAGGACCGGTTCAGAGAGAAGATCGTCACTGGTGTTGGCCGTGGGTGGAAATCGAACTCGGGTCCACAGATTTGTAGTGCAGAGCGCACACAAACACGTGCACATGTAAACACACACATACACAAAAGCACACAGACACACACGCAGGTACACATTTTAGGCTGAGTTAATGTGGAGAAATCCCAAAAGCTAAATTCAGAAACCACTGCCCAATGGTGGTGTGGCTCCAATTCCAGGGACTGATTGCAGACTGCTGGGATGGAAACACAAGAGAGTGATGGTCGATGCCAAGAGGTACGGTGCGTCCCTGCAAACGCGTGCTCACGACACTGCTGGCGGAACAAAACTTCCACCACAGGGACCTCTACAGAGTCGTTGGTTTACTTCTATGTTGACCGCACACGTTGGAAGAGGTGGACATAGCTCAACAATTGTAACCACATTTTACCACGTCATACGTCACACCGCGATCGACCCATTTCTACTACTGGAAGGACAGAGGCAATGGGGGAGGCAGAATTAGGAAACTTGCACCATTGGTTCAGCTGCCGTGCCGGGAGATTGAGTTGGGCCTCCATCTGGGCCGCAAGTCCGGTGCGCGAAGCGTTAAAACACGGGCAGCTCCGTCTAAAAAAGGGCGCCCCTGTGTGGCGACAGTGCTCAAACACACAACGATGGGGACGCGCTCAGTGGTGGGCGAAGGGGCGCGATAAACTCGCAACTGCGTGGTGAGAGGGCAGCACCCAGTGGCTTTCTCTAGGTATAGGCAACGCTTTGTTTTAAAAACTATTGAGCTAACTCAATTATCTGGAGTAATTGGGGTAAGGGGAAAGAATGGCTTGACAAAACAAAAATACAGCTCATCCAAAACACGTGTGCATTTAGTTACACAAATATATTTGTTATTTAGGTATATAAATTGGGAGCGATTCTGTAAATTGGGGTGTACATTGGGAGTGAATACTCAAAATGTGATGCTGTATTTGTATTGCTTTTAACAATAATCGGTTTACTTGCTGACGTTTGCATCACGTGACAACCAAGTCACTGACCCGCGACGAGGGGCAGCTCCTGGGAATATGAGCGCAGGCATGACAGGCGCACATGAGCACAATTAAACCAAAACCTGGATAATCTGTCTTCAGATAATCAAGAGTTAACGGTACAGTAATTCTTGAATTTCTCTGAAATGAAACCGTTCGTATGTTTGGTATTCATGCCATTCTCATTGTGCGATGCTACCCATGAAGGTGCTATTGTTTTACAGGAAATAGTCTGCAGTAGTTTATCAGTTGGGGCCGATGATTGCTATGTGTTGATTCGTCATAATCGTCATAATCCATGGGGTGCAGATCGCCCGTTACGTGTTCACTGCATGTTTCGTCATTTGTTTCCACTTTCCTCTCTGTCTTGTGCCAATATGCTCAGGTAGTGCCACATCTTTCTGGCAACAACCTCTTCATGTCATCGTCAAGCCATTCTCTGTTAGGTCTTCCTCTCTGTGTTGAGTAATTTGCGGGAGACTTAAAATTCGTCAAAAAAATTGGACCACGAACGCCGGTTCGCTCGCCCGACACTTTTTTTGCGAATGTCACAACGTCTTTCACGCCCACCGCGAAGCAAGCGACGCGCCACTCACGGCTGGGACATCCTCGCCGTTAACCAGGGTGGCCACAAGGTTCCAACCGCGGACCTCTGCAACAAGCGAGCAGGACGGGCGACCGCTCGGGCCGTGATCCCGAGGCCGCCACAACCGCTGCGGAGAAAAAGCCGCGTCCCACCTAACAAGCAAGCGGCTATCTCACCATGACGGCAACGTCGCACACGTTTAGCTGGGGCTGCCCGGCTACGAGGTTCGTCCTGTGCTCCTCCACTGCCTCGGAGACGGTGGCGAGCGCCTCCTGATACTCTGCCTCGGTGGGGCTGCGAGAGAGAGGCAGGTTACAGGGCACAGGAGAAAACAATCCCCCCTCTGAGAATAGGTTTTCCCCTTTTTTCTGGCAACAAAACAGTTGTGTTAAGATGTTAAAACACCAAACTGAAACCTTTTACAAGGAATCATGTCTGCATTAACCACAATACTTGTGGCCAGAATGCAAAGAAATGAAGCTGTCTCTGGTGTGGACCAATCTGTTTCAAAGACAATGCATATATTTTTAGAGTTTTTTATTGTTTGCATTCTGACCACAAGTATTGTGGTTAATGCAGACATGATTCCTTGTAAAATATTTCAGTTTGGTGTTTTAACATCTTAACACAACTGTTTTGTTGCCAGAAAAAAGGGGAAAACCTATTCTCATATTTTGATACTGGCAAAGGAGGTCCCAATCCCCCCTCTCTCTTCGCTGCAGAGACTGCTCGTGATGCGTGCTGGTGGCGAGCACCCTGTCAAGGCGGGTCGCGACGGGCTGGTGTGGCTGTGGACAGCAATCAAGTGCAGCCACTCTTAGCTCCCAAGCGCCAACGCTCACCCATTCAAACTGCAGTGGGGCGCCACGGTGGCGAGATGTTAACTACCTCACCTGCTGTACAGGTGGTCGTGGGTTCGATCCCGACCCTGACACCTGTTGTATATTTGGAGTTTGCATGTTCTCCCCGTGGTCGCGTTGATTTTTATCTGGCTCCTCCAGTTTTTCCCTCCACATTTAGAGACGTGCGTTTAGTGTGTTGGGCCGCTATAAATTTCCACACAATAAGCCACTTTGTTGAGCTATCATTTGTGGCCAGGTCGCTTCTGAAAAAGAGCTACATAGCTCAGGTGGGACTTGCCTGCTAAAATTGCAATAGTTTAGTTTATAGCTTAAAATAGTTTAAGATTAGAAATTCTGCAGCCGAATGATGAAAGTGGGCAGTAGTTATACTAAGCAGTGCATGATTTGAGATTGGTGACCACAGTTTCACTGTGAGCTATTCTTAATCGCCCAGTTCAGTGTAGGACGAGACAGCTGAATCTGCTGCGTACTGTTCTGATGCGGTTCAATACGGACTATTGTTTGCGGGGTAAATTGAAAATGATGATGATGATGATACCTGATTGGATACTTTTCTCCAGGATCACGCCCAAGGTGGAAGATGAGGGGCAGGCTCGTGTGCTCCGTTTGGTTATGCGTCGTCACATCGTCAACATGTTGTCCTGGACAAAAGTTGACTCCCTAGCGAGACAGAGAGAGACAGCCAAGCACACACACACACACAGAGATACACAGACAGAATTAAGAGGAGATAATCCCTCCTACTCTGAATGCACAGCTTATAGACATCCTACTTGCTAGACTGTCTCCTAGAGTTAACTCATAGCCCTGTGTGACTCACCAACCCCGCCGCATCGCGGACATGCGCCTTCCCCTCCAGTTGAGAGTTGTTTGACGCTCGGGATGGATTCCCGATGTTCGGAATCCGAACAAAATCCCGAAAACGTGAAATCGCATTAAGTGACGTCACTTAAATGATGTCCCTTCTGTGCTAATGCTGTCCAAAAGCGGCACCGAGTGATTTCACCATTCCTTGCATTATCACATTTAGTTTGGTACATAATGCAAACGATCCAAAAATCTGAGAGAAAAATATATAAATTATGTTTAGAAATCTGGAAATCTGACATTTTTTATCTGAAACTCATCCCTACTCGATGCTCTGTCAAGCATGGAGGCATCTGTGTAGTCAGGTGATGCTGTGGTTCAAGCCCGTGGCTCACAATCATAAGATTACCAATTCAAATCCCATTTCAGGGTCAACTCAGCCCATAATCTCTCCCGGGTTAGCAAACTGAGCACTGCTGTGTGGGAAGTCAACCATACTAGGGAGAGACTGGCTCCTGCCAGGGGAATGTGAAATGTTTTCTGTGAGCACAGAGCCGCCAACAGAGATGACTCCTACACGACTTCCCATTAGAGAGGAGAGATAGACGCTTTGACATTCTAACTCGATTACGCGTGCAAGGGAATTAGAGACCATCAGCATATTTATTTATACTGGAAGAATCCAACGAGCTACACAGCTCTTATTTACAGACGTCCAGAATATTCAGTCAAAGATCCAACGGTGATCGCCCGAGCAAAACATCCGTGCGTAACTGGAATGAGGCAGAGCTGATTGTGACTTTTTTGACTTCCTTTCACTGGGGGAGGGCCCGAGGAGCGAGGTGGGGGGGGGGGTGACACCTGTTTAAATTCCTCCCAGGAGTTGCTCCACGTCCACAGGTGTGCCTTGTAGGCGCCACAGCGCACGGCCATCAGCTCATTGCCCCTGTAGTAGAACACGGGTCTGCAACAGTCGACAGCAGAAACACAGAGAGGCCGCCGTTGCAATGTGTTCGTCATTGCAAGGCACGCGGGCCACTGGCTGCCCCCTGGTGACCTTTAGTGCGGCCCCTGACGTGCGCTTTTACCTGTGGCAACACCACAGGAAGGAAAGAACAGTCGAGGTTGTAATGTGTGGATAAATAAAAAGTAGGGCAGAGCGGTGGAGAAAGGTGGCTTAAAGAAAGGGACAGAGGCAAACTACGCAAAGTTGCAGGTGGCTTTTGCGATTGCTTCTGAAAGTTGCGCAAAATATTAGAAAAGGGCCAGGTAAACGGGAAAAGGTAGAAATGCCGGGATGGAAGTCCCCAAGATAGACAAAGGAGGCACGGCTCAAGATGAGCAGCAGGAAGAAAGAATGGGCGACGGGCAGGATAGGGAGGAAGGGGAGAGAAGGAATCACTGGGCCAACAAGTCGGGAATGAGAAGGTGACTATAAGAGGGGAGGGAAGAGAGGGAGCGGAGCTTGCGTGGAGGGGAGCAGCGTCCGTTTTCACGGGGGGTGGGAGGTTGTTGTTTTTTTGCGGGAGGCTTGAGCTGGTTTAGATATAGAGAAGGGGTGGGTGCTTAAATTGAATTGAGGTTTAGTGGAGAAAACAAATCTGAACAAGACAGAGCAAGCGAGAATACAAGGGAGAAAAAAAATAACACGAAATTTCAGACATTGAATTGTACAGCCACCCCGGCTCGAGACAAATGAATTACATTGCTGGGGTGATGGATTATCACGTGCCTAAGTTACAGCCAAAAGAATGTTCATGTTTTACATTTCACGAAAGTTTACCAACATGTTATATCATGAAGTATAATTTAATACCAACCAATACACGCGTGACAAACACGTGTTGCTTTCCAACGGGACAACCCGAGCAAAGCAGCCACGCCCATTCTTGACTACGCACGCGTCACTTACACCTGTGTTGTCATCATTTACACTCGGCAGACGACGATATCGCAACAAACCCTGCCCCCTCTAGACTCCTCTGCGACTCGTTGGTGAATGGACCGGCGGCACCCAAGGATGCCCTGGTAATGTGGTGTTGCTGGCCCTGGCTGCCCCTGGGGCTGCCCATCGCTGTTGTTTAGTACTTGTTGTTGTTGTTGTTGGTGGTGCTTGGTCGTGGGTTGTGCCGCTCTCTGCCTGCGTTTTACTACCTCGACTGCCCCTTGCCCCATCCGCGACCTCCCACGCCCCCTCCTTCTACCCTCACGAAGCTTACTCTTTCGTTTTGTAAAGACTCTTGCAGATTTCATCCCCTGACAAAATTTGCTCAAAACTGGGTTTCACCTGTGTTCACCAATCACCACGTCCCTACGATTAGCACGGTTGGCGACGTACGGTGCAAAAGAAGTTCAACATACATACACCACCCAACCAATCAAGATAATTACCACGGGCAGATATCAATTCTTCGCTCCTAGCCGAGACGATCACCTGGGTATGGTCTGGTTGTTGAACAGCGCAGGGCTCAGGTCCAGGCCATCAAGCTGCCGGTCGGAGGGTGGCCTCAGCCCAGCGAGCGCCAGCCCGGTCACAAATAGGTCCATCACCGTGCCCAGCTGCCGACTCACCTGCGGCACAGCAAGCAGCACAACAGCCCGTGATGACGATGATGAGCGGCGGTGGCTCGCACAAACGTGCGTGCAGTGAAACTGGATGCACACAAGCACGGTCGGCCACATTCGTGTCATTATCCCTTTGCCGTTCCGAGATGTCTGCAAGTTGCCGGGTGGATTTCTCGTTCACCGCTGAATCTTGGAACGTACAAGCCGCTCAACACTAATTTCATTTAGAGAGGCGTAGCGCCGCTGTCTGAAAGACATTGTGCTCACCACAGAGAACTGTAGCGACATGACCACACTCTATGACAGCTGGCACCCAAGTGTGCCACATTCCCTCCCGCATGGCCTTTTTCTTCCGATTCTCTTCCAATGACGAAATAGGAAGCAATGAAATGTCATCAGAAAAATGGAATCGGAAGAAAAACTGATGACGTACACGCACGTCATCGGAATTGAAAAGCGTTAACCTGAATGCGTTTTGAGATGGCCGTGTGGCTCAGAGGTCAGAGTGCTGAGATCCTGGGTTCATATCTGTGGTTTAGCCACCTGTGATTAAACTTGAGTTTTCAAGTGTAATGAGTTCATGGTCTTAGACTGGTTCCCATTGACTGCACAGACAAAAAAAACTATAATAAAAATTGGTTATCCATTAAAATTGGTTAATTTCGACTCTAACATTTAAAAACGTTCCTGTGACTGTCATGTCATGAATATTTCTCTCTATAACAGGGCAGGTGAGTAGGTGGTGCCCTCCTAGTATGGTTATGAGGTCGCATCAAGAGATTTCAGAAGCAGTGTTGTGTTATCTCCTTCAGCAGATCAATCTCCAACACTGATGCAATGCTCTGCACAATGGGGATAGACATTTGGGGTAAAGAGACAATTTCTTTTACGACTTTGATAAAACACAAATACATTTCAGTTGTAAGAGTTGGGCAATGCCAAATCTAAAAAAGCCAAATCTAGTGAGGTGGGTGGGGCTGCGGTTAGAGCAATGCAAAAACACTCTGGAAGGTAAGATGGACAATTGTTGCTTGGAATTTTATATTAGAAAATTTGTAAAAAAAATTAAAATTGTAAAAGTTTTTAATTTTAAAATGTTTTACAATTTTCAAAGTTATTGAAAAAATATATCATATATAAAAAATGTTTCGAGAACCTCTTATACATTAGTCATGGTTGAAATAAATGTATTTTTGGAGGATGGTACAGAGGGGAAAAGAGAGCTATATATTCTTAGGTGTTTTCGGTAAAGTCACGTAGGTAAAACATCAAAATTAATAAAAATAATAAAATAAAATAAAGATCACGACGTTTCGGAGGCTCATCAGAATGTGGTAGCCAATGAGCCAATGAATGGAAAGTATCGGCCCCTCTCTCCCGATACTTTCCATTCATTGGCTACCACATTCTCATGAGCCCCCCCCCCCCCTCTCCTCCCCCCTCAACTCGCTTTTAAGGGATTACATCTTGAATCATTGCCTCACTTGATGCAGCTGATCTGGCTGTGACTGTCCCACCTGATGACGGAGACTTGTGTTGCCTCCGAAACGTCGTGATCTTTATTTTATTTTATAATTTTTATTAATTTTGATGTTTTACCTACGTGACTTTACCTAAGAATATGATTCCTTGCAGTCACGAAAGCTTCAAGTCTGGAAGAAAAGAGAGCTATGACGTTTGCTATCCCAAGAACGTGGCGGGAACCCACTGACCACTCAAGCAACTGCTACTTCTGCATGGTGGACCCTTCCAAACGTCAGACTGGCAAGCATGCACCTGCTATGACCTATCCATCGCCCCGGTGCCACACTGCCAAGAGCTCCCCGTACCCACTCCTCCGGAGAGCAGCCATCTTTAAGAGAGCAGCAAGTCAGAGAGCGAGGAAGACGTTATAGATCCAGATGACAATTTCAGAGGTGGAGCTGAGGAGAGAAACCCATACTACCCCAACCAAAAAGACCTCGATGACTTGATCAGAAATCTTGGTCTCACCAAGTCCAATGCCGAGCTTTTGACATCTAGGCTCAAGCAGTGGAAATTGTTGGATTAAAGTGTGCAAGTCGCAGATCAGATGAAGCGTGACCAACCTTTTTGCAGCTTCTTCACCCGTCAAGATGGGCTCTGCTTCTGCCACAATGTCTGTTCGAGGCAATTGGAATTGCCTGTAACCAGAATGAGTGGCACCTCTTCATTGACAGCTCATCCAGGAGCCTCAAAGCCGTGCTGCTCCATAATGATAACAAGTACCCGTCTCTTCCCCTGGCTCACTCGGTGCACCTCAAAGAGGATTACAACAGCATCAAGACCTTGCTGATGCCTTGAAATATGATGAGTAAGGCTGGGAGTTCATCGGAGACTTCAAAATGATGGCATTCTAGATGGGTCTACCAGGCGGTTTTACCAAGTTGCCCTGCTATCTTTGTCCTTTGGGACAGCAGGGACACCAAGGCGCACTACCACAGGCGGGACTGGCTACAGCGGACCGAATTTTGTGGGGAGGAACAACGTCAAGTGGGAGCCACTGGTGGACCCCCAGAAGGTGCTGATGCCACCACTGCACATCAAATTGGGCCTTATGAAACTATTTGTCAGAGCTGTAGATAAGGAGTCGGCAGCCTTCAAGTATCTTCAAGACTTCTTCGTTAAGCTGTCTAAGACAAAGGTCAAAGCCAGTGTCTTCGTCGGACCACAGATAAAGAAGATCCTGGAGTGCAATGAATTCCCCAAGAAGCTCACGAGTAAGGAGAAAGCGGCTTGGGACAGCTTTGTCGCAGTGGTTCGTGGCTTCCTGGGCAATCACAAGGTCGAAAACTATGTGGAGCTGGTTGAGACTCTGGTGAAGAACTATGGCGCACAATGGGCTGTAGGATGTCCCTCAAAGTCCATATCCTTGATGCTCATCTTGATAAATTCAAGGAGAACATGGGAGCATACTTGGAGGAGCAAGGCAAGTGCTTCCACCTGGATATACTGGACTTTGAACGTCGCTACCAAGGACAGTATAACGAGAACATGATGGGAGACTACATTTGGGGGCTGATTCATGAAAGTGATTTACAGTATAATCGTAAATCTCGAAAAACTACTCGCTTCTAAATCTTCTGTACTTTAGTATGTTAATTTTGATTCATATGTTGTTATGTTGTTATTTTCTGACTTTATGTGAACGAAAAGACACAAATTCGCCTGTTTTCTCATTGAAAATAGGTAAATTTCAAAATATCCCTGTCCTGGTCATAAAAGCCAAGTTTGTTGGGAATAATAAGCATTTTCTATACTTTTCAGGTATAAGCAATTACGAAATAACCCTTGCTACCCAGGAACAAAAATTGTGTTACATTGTGTTATAATAAGGCAGCCACACAGGCCGACTGGGATCATTTGCCTTAATATGCTGAGAATTTGTGTTTCAGTTTCATTTATTTGGTATAGCCCTGTGAGCCATTCGGCTCTTGAATCGGGTGCAACCACAACAAACAAAAAACATAAACAAGAAAAACATCTTAAAGTGACTATGCGTAAACAGAAAAATCCATGAAAAAACTTCTAATTCTTCCAGAAAAAAAGCACCGTACACCAACGCTGTGCAAAAATCCCAGTGGGATGCAAGTCAAACAACAACAACCACAAGACAACTTAAATTAAAGCCATCATTTAAACTCCGTACTACAACAAACAAACATTGCCAAACGAAAAACGTTTCGAAATCACCAAAATAAAGCCATAAGCAATGTAACAGTGATCATAGGAACTATGACCGAAATTTTACAATAAACGACATAAACAACATGTACCACCAAACCCTGCAGCCATAGCTGGCTGCATGAGTCACTCCACAACAGCAGGAGCATCAGTAGGAGTATCAACATTTTTCAAATGCACCTTAAAAGATCAGCACACTAAATCAAAACACAAGATCATACGTTGCAGCGGTCATCCGGAACGTGTTATAGGTGAGTAGTGCAACTTTGTAGGAAGTCAACAGTTGATGTCTCTATGGATATCCTTGGCCCCACCATGGGAATGTGGAGTTTCTACTCCCGGCTCTGGCACATCATGCTTAAGGGCGAGGGAACAAATACACGGAGTTGAGTGCCAGCTCACCATGGCTTGCTAAAATTAGTAAATGCCCAAGGTTACGGAGGCTGTGCTAATCAGACATTAAAGTACATCTGGAAGGCAGAGCTGATTAAATACAATTAAATGACTCATTAATACATGTATTTGTTCTCTCGCCCTTAAGCAATCAAACCAATCAGAAAATAATTTATTCAGGAAAAACCAAGACCGTTGTCATCAACACTGCCTTCACAAATGCGGTATATTGTGGAATAATTTGTCCTATGCTGAGATTTCTCTTCATCCCTGTCTGATCCCGAAGGCCACTGTAGGAAAAACCCGTCCACTCGAGGTGACAGGGGGAAGTATTGCAGTGGTTCCTCCACCGCGCTACGAACCCAACGACCTGACTGATTATTTTTGCCATGGCTAACATCAGCGGTGAATGACATCTGGACCAGTCCTAGGGCCCCCTGCTTTACCAACCCACACTGACCAGTGAGTATGGTGAATATATTATTGAATAACTCCTGGGAACCCGCACAGCGTGGGGAGGCCCCTCATCCAGCAGTGGATGACAAAAGTGCCGTACTTGTACATGAGTACATTTGTTATAAAGTGAATTTCTAGTTCAAAGGGTCTCCTTGCAGTGCTCACTACCATTGGAAGCGCTGGGCCAACAGCAAAACATGCCAGGTTCCTGTTTGTTGAGAACCATTGGGATGATATACAATGTCCGTATGCATTACAAAACACTGGGTTAACATAATAAATTAAATCAAATGATCCTGAATCGCGACACCTTGCTGAAACGCCGAGGGGGTGGAATGTCACAAGTCTACAAGGCCTCGTCATCGATTAACTTGAATCGTCATTTTCATTCGCACGATAGACACCTTTTAAATGTACACACATCACTGATACAGAGCACGCCGAGTGCACGGCAGTGAAACACACGAGTAGCGCATTGAGTAACACTGTCATAATGCCTAAGCTTTAAAAATGTGATATTACAAAAAAGACATCCATTTACCAGACGCATTATATTTTGAGCGCAATCTTTTACTCTCCTTGGGGTTTTTTTCCTCTATCTCCCCGAGTTTCACCTGCAGCGCCCCCCCCTCCCAAGTGTATAAATTCTCTTATCAGGCTCGAGCAGATGGCAAAGAGAGAAGGGTTTCGTTTTTTATCAGCGCCACTGCCAAAACATTGCTGCTGCTGCTGCTACTCCTCGATCAAAGGCAAAGTAATCTCCGCGAATCCACTTTGCCAAAGGGACAAGGGAAAACTTGTGAAAAATGGCAAAAATGCATCCACAGTTGACAATTCGTTTTTAACCTCTGGTGAGGTGCTGCCGAAGCCTAAACATGACGCTGGCTTGTTTATCTTAGTCCAAGGCCTGTTTGAGACCAATACATCCTGGATGTTCATTTTAATAAGGCAAGATACACAGACTCGTAAGGAACACTTGTGCGTTTGGTCTTAGAATTCAAAATAATTGAGTACTGCGCCTTGTGAAGTCTGCATTGGCTGTTTAATATTAGCTGGTTCAGGACCATGCATAAGCACTGCAACCAGAGTCATTTGGCTAATGAGGCACTTTGAAATGTTTTTATACGCACAGAATATACACACACACACCTCTGCCAATTTTGATGATGAAAGATTCAATTAAATAATTGTGAACCCTTGAAGCTAATGCACACTTGTTTAAAAATAATGACAAGCTATTGCTTCACGCGATTTGTCCAAATAGCGCTCTTGGCAACACGATTTGATCACAATCAGAAGGTTGTGAATTAAAAAACCTGGGGTCAAACTGGACTGTGCATGCACTGACTCCAGCCACAGCGACGTGGGATGTCCACCACGAGCTCGGGACTGCCGATGGAGAATACTCGCCAAAATGCTCAATTGAACAGGGATACGTGTTGACTTTTAAGTTTCACATTTATTTTACAATTTACACCAAGAGGACATAATTTCATGAGATGAAGAGTCCGTTCAGCAGCCTTGCCGGATGGAGCATCAGGTTGCACCTGGGGTTTCTCACAGGACCTCTCCTGGATGTCCTCTTTTACATTTGAAAATGTCGTTTACATTTTATTGAAAGGTAATCAACTTAATTAAGTTGAAGTTGTTAAATATAATCCTTTTTATATTCTTGGTTCTTTCGGTAAAGTCACGTAGAAGGAAAATAAAAATATAATAAAAACTATAAAACAAAAAAATTTTCAATGACGTTTCGACTGCAACACAAGCCATCATCATCAGGTGTGAAATTCACAGCAAGAAAATTTGAAAAAAAAATTGCTGTGGATTTCACACCTGATGATGATTGCTTGTGTTGCAGTCGAAACGTTGTGAGTATTTTTATTGTTTTATATTTATATTATTTTATTATTTTCCTTCTACGTGACTTTACCGAAAGAACCAAGAATATGAATCCCTGCAGTCACGAAAGCTTTAAATCAAAATATAATCCTTTTTATTTTTTCTCCACACGCTGCTATGAGATTATTTCCCGCATGACAAATCGATTTTTTTTATTCTTAAGAGCTGGAATTTAGCCAAATGACATTTTTTAATGACCTTTCCGTGTGCAGTCATTGGCGACCTCATTACGCCTGTGAACTTGGTTTTTAAATCACAGGCAGCTGAAACCGCGACTCGAACCCAGGATCCCGGCAATGCCGACTCGGCACTCCAACCTCTGCGCCACCCCGCCACCTCAACAGATCACGCACAAATTGCCACCGGCAGATTGAGCATCGGGCACAAGTCTCGTGTTCCCCTTTCGTCATCAATTCCGCGAGCCTCTTCGCCCAGCCCACGCATTGACTCACCGTAGCTGGGTGGATGCGCCCAGGCCACCAGGCTATGGCTGGCTCCCTCATGCCGCCTTCGAACGTGGTCTCCTTGCCACACAAGAAGGGCCCATTGCTTCCAGCTGGGAGGTGCAACGAAACACACACGACAAATAAAGATCCTACGCTTAGCCTTTAGAAACGGTAGAAGCAAGTGCAATTAGTGAACGCCTTACCAAGACCGATAAGGCACGCGAGAGGTGGTCAACGCCACGCCAGGCAACCTTTGTCTCTCCTTTGACGATGTTCACGTACACCAATGGGTGATCATACAGTAAAAGCCCGATATAACGCAGGCGTGGTGGGACACGAGTAACACCCGTGTTATAGGCAACCCGCGTTATAATGGAAAATGCGTGTGTGCATCTCCACATATCTATGTCTCCATGTCTGTGTGTGTCTGCATGCATGTGCGGGGAGCAGTAGCGTAGCGGTTCGTGCGGTGACCCGAGTTCCAATTCCAGCTCACAGCCAACACCAGTGACAATTATCTGAACCAATCCTGGGCCTACCCTAGGTGGACTCGGCCTCAAATGAATATCTGGTGCGGTGTGTAAAAACATCGGCATTGGGGAGATAAACGAGATAAAGGGCATGGTGCTGGCCACCCACCCCTCGTGTACTGTGCCAGCCTTCATAGGTGCTCGCTAACAGCACTTGCCCCAACAGCCTGGTAATGCTATGCGGGGGATCTTTGTCTCTGCACGTGTCACTGTGTCTGTGGCTCCGTGTCCGTTCGCCCGACTGCGGATGCGGGAACGAGAGAGTTGGGAGGGTCAGGGGTGGGCGCTGACGTGACGGCTGCCTGCCGTATCGCGCCGCCACCGATAGAGAGGGAGTTGGGGGGTGGCGTTCGGATCGGCCACTGGGACGTTTCCACGGCACACCACCGGTTATTTTTGTGTTTTCCTGGGACATGACCTGACCGGCGATGTATATCCGAATCTGATGATCCGCATTATATCAGGCCTTTACTGTATTCTATTATCATAATTGTTAATATATATGTTACCTGGATAATCCCCCAAGATGGAACATGTCGTTTGCAAGGGTGTCCAGGGTGTTGTCAAGTGACACACACGCGAAGCAAACACGTAATGACACGTCTACACACATTTTAAAGTCTACAACTCACGCGGTATACGTTTATGCAATGTCACGCGCACGTATAAGAAGACAGCCAGGACAGCGCGCATGAAGGTCACACCGCAGGCCTACGCATGAATAAGTGGTGCACACTGCACATTCTCTAGCTGTACGCATGTTGAACTTCTTTCGCGCCGTACGTGGCCAACTGTTCTCATCGGAGGGGGGAGGAAAAACATCTAAAGAAATGAGTTTTCAATCTAGATTTAAAAGTGCATAGCTACAGTGGCTTCCTAATACCGGAAGAGCGTTCCCAACGGCCGCAGGAATGCATCTGAAAGCGCACGACACGGTGGCCGTCTTTGTTCGATGGATATCCAAAATTTGTGAGACTCAATTGGCCCCAGTGGAGGCCCAATGTAGATTTAGATCCTACGTGCCACTGATGTCAGCCTAGGCGGGAATCAAACCTAGGTATGCGGCAATGTACTCGCTTCACCACTATTGTTCACCACAGATTACATATTTAAATTAAAAAATCCACAAGTGATGGGTTAGCTTATGGGGCTGAAGGCCATGTCAGAACACGAAAGCAATCAGCCATCGAGACAATGTGGGTGGGATGTGGCCGTGTGGGTTTTAGGGCTCAATGGCGATGTCAGAGCACCTGGGCAGTATCGTTAAGATGCCGCAATCAATTTTTGCTGCCTCGTGTAACTAAACTGGGTTATCAAGTGTAGTGAGTTATTGGTCTCAACCTGACCATCAAAGGCCGTACAAATAAACCCACCATGTTAAGTGTACCCACGTCATTAATGTTTACCGAATTGCTGCCCACGAGTATCACCTATAACGTCTACCCCCAATGCAGAACCTTGCTGGGGTGGTGAACTGCACACGGGATAAGTCTAAAGCGAGCGGAGCCCACGCACTCTCTCCTGCGAGCTCTCTAACTGCACTCCGCCGCAGGCTTGACGAGCGGTCCCAGCTGACGGAGGTGGAACATCCAGGACAAGCGAGGCTTTGGGAAACAAAAAAAACCTCCACTGGGGGTTCGCTTCTAGGGACCCTCGTTCGTATCAAGCCTGTCCGTCAACACGTCCTGAGAGTGCAACCGAGGCTCGAATGAGTGGGTGGTGCTCCACCGGTGCGTTACGCCTACGCATGATGACCACGTGATACCCCAACCACCAAAACCATACTCATTTAGGCCTAAAGTTTAATGGTAAAGATAAAGAGACATTTTGGCCTGGGCAGTGGTTCTCAACCTCTTTTGGCTACTATACTGTGCCCCCCTTGTTGAATATTGTTTCAACTGAGTACAGCCCCTTTGCCTGACCCAACATGGTTCTGAGAAATCAATGCATGAATAATGGACATCAATATTTTATCATCATTAGACCTCCTTTGCCAGTACCAAAATATAATAATAGGGGTTTTCCCCATTTTTTCTGGCAACAAAACTGAAACCTTTTTACAAGGAATCATGTGTGCATTAACCACAATACTTGTGGTCAAAATGCAAACAAAAACACGCTCTGATAATATATGCATTGTCCTTAAGACTGATTGGTCCACACCAGAGACGGCTTTCTTTTGAGCCACGTCTCCATTGGTGCTAGACCAGAGGATGCCAAAAGGTTTCAGTTTTGTTGCCAGAAAAAATGGGAAAAACCCTATCATCAATATTCTACCCAATTGTCCATTTAGTGAGGTATCCTAACTGGCTACTAATTGCAAAAAAAAATGTCAACGGACGCTCCGCACGTGTGACGTAATGTGTTCACACTCGCTGGCTACTCTTGGAAACCACATTGTTTACGATCAATGAGTTTAGAAAGGTCTTTTATATTGTTCTAGTTTACCATATGCATTTCAATGTTATCGTAGCTATTTTATATGGCAGAGTCATACATAACTATTCACCAATGACTCTCACGTCCGATATCATTTCACACGATTATAAATCACCTCACGTACCCCCTGGGCTATTTGCACGTACCCCCAAGGGGTCCGCGTACCCCCCCGATTGAGAACCACCGGGTGAGGGAATGGGCTGTCCAATCTAATCGATCAACAACAACAACAACGGTGGCCAGACCTTCCTTGGGTCCTGACATGAGTGCCGCTCCATTGTCCGAGGTGAAAAACACGAACGTGTTGGTGTCGAGGCGGCGCGAGCGCAGCTCGGAGAGGATCCGCCCCACGGCTGCGTCGATCTCGCGCACCGCGTCCCCGTACCTCCGGAGGCAAAAAAACGAGAGAAGGAACGGGCATTCGGCAGAAATTGGGTCAGGGGGGCTCACTCGTGCCTTGTCAGAGCACCGATGTTCAACACCTGGGCAGCGCTGTGACAATTGAATAATAATAAAAGCACCCAATCGTTTTGTTTTTGTGTTGCGTCTTCGTGCAAGCAACAACTATCGCCATGGCAATGCTCATTTCCGTTGACGGCCGTGAGTCGTCGGCAGGAAGATGGCGGTAGCCACCCTCGAGCAACCACAAGATGTGGGAGTTTAATGTCAGCATCAATAATTACGCTGCCCTAAAAGGGAAAAATAACAATAGGCAAAGTTTTATGCAATGGTCCTTTACGTGGCAAAGAGAATATCTCTCCGAGCAGTGTTATAAATTAACGTATTGAGTTTGTGTTATTTGTGCTTGTGCACCACGGCCAAAGCAGTATCACACATTCCGCATCGACGAGCAGTGCGTCAGGCAGCTAAAACACAGCGAGTTTGCAGTGGGGAGTGCAGGTGATAGATCTCTTAGTTGCCCTGTTCTGCTGACCCGTATCACCCGAGTCTCGTCCCGTGACCTCATGCTCGCGAGCATTCGCCGTTGCCAAAGTCAACGGTTAAGAAATCCCCATTCTCGAATTGCCATTTGTTGGCCCTCATCTCCACTGGCGACTCCTCGTGGTGTAAATTCCACATTCCTATGGCAGTGGAGGAGTCGTTGAGGATGACCACTATTGTCGTAAGTGATTAGAGGGCTCAACAGCGGGTCAAGCAGTTGGCCTTACAGTACAGCCAGCTTGATAGTGGATGTTGGGGGCGTGGCGGTGGCGAGATGTTATCTATGTCGCCTGGTATGCAGGAGGTCGTGAGTTCGATCCCGACCCAGACGTCTGCATATACGGTGATTGCATGTTCTCCCTGTCGTCGTATGGATTTTTATAAGGGTCCTCTCGTTGATTCCCTCCACATTTAGACTCAACGTGTGTTTAGAGTTATTTGACTGCTATACATTGCCATACGATGAGCCACTTCGTTGAGCTATCATTTGTGATAGCCAGTTCACTCCTGAAAAATAGCTATATAGCTCAGTGGGCCTTACCTGATAAAATAAGCAAAACAATTTTTTACAGTTTTTCGTGTAGCGTCGTTAACATTACTCCACGACTGCAGCACAGTGTGTGGGGGTGCTCTCGGCTGTCACGGCATTGGTAGCGTACAAGCCTCGGCGACTCGTTCCCAGAAAGGGCCGAGAGGCGTAGACGGGAGTGTGGGTGGCGTCCACCGCCCAGTAGAGGAAAAACGGGCGGCCGGCGTCGCTTTCGCGTCCGATGAAATCCAGGGCCTCCTGCCGACACAAGACGCGGCAGGCAGACATGGTGAAGCTCCGTTACGGCTTTCTGTTGTAACGAGGCAAAGAAACGACGTCCGTCTGGAACACTCAGTCGGCAGAACGGCACGTGGTTGTCAACGAACGGCAGTGGAAAACAACAGCACCCGCCGGTGATGCACGGAGAACGAATACCAAACAGAGTGCGCTGCAGCAGGTAAATGCCACTCACGTCAATACCGTGCAGATGTATTCTGCCGAGGAAAGGTGCCGATGCTTGTGTGGCGTACGTGCATTCGCGTTGCATGATTAGACTGGATCCACATACAGGAGTAAACTTCCAGTCAAGCCAGAAGGCTTGGCAGTAGAGCTCACATTTAGAAGGTTGCGAGTTCAAATCTTGGTTGGGGGTTGACTGAGCCCATCATTCCTCTGGAATAATTGAAATAATTAAATTGTTTTGTTTACCCCTTTCCTTTGGTAATCTCTTGGTCAACTGGATATAAGGAATATTAATCAAGAACACCCAGGTTCATAAACCCCCTGTCAGTAAGTCTTCACCATTCCACTTAACCTCAAGATGCATCTAGTCTGGCACATGGGCCTGTGATGATGTCACCGCCACCTTTGGAGCTTCTTCCACCAGCATTCACGTAAGCAAGCAGTTGCACGCTCCACGTTTTACAATGTCGATATTAACTCGCTATTCGTGAAGGGTACGTTTAGGAGATTCTCGTAAATAGCAGACATTTTAATGAATGACCTCCAATAAACACATAAGTTATTAAGTACATGAAAATTATGATAACACAAACAAATTGTGAAAATAAACAAAGTAGTTTTTTTTTTATATTAAAGTATGAATTCATGACGATGATGTGCATCATTTGATCTCATCACTGTATCTCATCACATTCTCGCATCACATTCTCGCATCACATTCTCGCATCACATTCTCGCATCACATTCTCGCATCACATTCTCGCATCACATTCTCGCATCACATTCTCGCATCACATTCTCGCATCACATTCTCTCCCATCACTTTCTCCCTCGATAGCCACTTAAGAGTTCCATATGCAATTTGCGGGTGGTCAAAATCGCGGAGAGCAAGTGAGTGAACAACAAGGGAATCATGTACATGACAAACATGCTAATGGAGCCGTGTCCTGAGGTGAAGAAACGTGCTTCTGAAACTCCATCTGTCAGCTCAGCATCACATCATGGCAAGGAATGGCCCCAAAACAATCCCACAACAAAGTGCATTTTAAGACGCTTCAATTAACCGGCTTTATTTGAGGAACTATGTTAATGATAGGTGGCTGCCCACACTGAAACACCTCAAGCACCAAACCTTCTGCAACCAGATTTCACTTTGAACTTTGAACAACATGTTGTCTCAACGGATTTGGATTAATTAAAAAAACAGTCACGGCCATCAGGAAAGAGAACAGGATTTTAAAATACTCGAGCACATTTGCCGCTTTATCAACGGAAACAATTCTCACCTGCAGATACAGACGGGTGAGGTTGGACTCTCCCGTCTTGCGATTGATTTCGAATTCTTCGTAATATCTACATTAAAAGGAAAATTGCAACTTTAACAAATAAACAACTGGAGGCAAGGGTTATATTTGAAAACTTTTTTCTTTTTTATCAAACTCATACAGGATTAGCTCACTTCAAAGGAAAAAAGAAATGCTTAAAATGCAATATATATTTCAAATACTTACTCTACTGCATTTATCGCAACCCTTTTTAACCCATTCAAACTAAAGTTGAAAGCGTTAATGCATTAGCTCTTACACACAAAGTGCTTGCCACGAATGAACCACAATACCTTGCGTGATCTTGTCAAGAAGCATAAACCATCACGCGAATTCCAGTCATCCTCGCAGCGGCTTTTGGTTAGCTATCGAATAGAAGGTAACCACGTCACGCGCTTTCATCTAAAATGCTCTTTTTTCCGAAATTAGGATGCCACTGGAGTTATGCACTTTTAAATCTAAATTGAAAACCCATTTCGTATAGCTTATCATGTGAAAATGTACAGCAGCTAAATGCTCAATACGGATTATTCTAAACGTGGAAGGAAAACCGGAGGACCCAGATAAAAATCCATGCGACCAGGGTACGAACATGAAAACTCCAAATATACAGGGATCAGGGTTGGGATCAAACCCTCGACCTCCTGTATACGAGGCAAGGTAGTTAACATCTCACCACTGTGGCACCCCAGGTGAGAACTCAAGAGACCAGGATAGTTTAATTTGCAAGGGTGACCAAAAATGGCCCTTCATTTGAGCAGAGAGGGAAGGCAGGCATATATACATCTCAGTGTCATCCCAAGCATGCATCTCTCCATGCTTGTGTGCGCACTTTTTTTAATTTAGTTCCACTCTATTTGACAATGTCCATCGAACGTTTATTCAAATATTTCCGAGGGCAAATGCACAAGATCGACTCACGCGCCTTGTTTCGCTCTTGTGTATCTCGTGTCATATTTACCCTCACTCCCTCTGGCTGGGGTGGGGGGGGTTGACAAAAATCAAAACCACTTGCAGGAAGTCAATGATGATCACCTGCCAGAGGAATATGGAATTCCCTCCACTAGCTCTAGGCCACCTGCATAGACGAGTACCACCCCAAGCGTTGAGCAGAGCAGCAGCAAGCAGCAGTGTACAGGAAGAGCTCCGTTATCTGGCATCCATGGGGAATGGAGTTGGTACCAGTTAATAAAATGTCGGATATCTGAGTCATTCTCACGGTTCACCAAATTTTCCAAGCACATAACACAATTTTGAAGAAAGAAACTAAGCCTACATTTTAACTATGAGATGAGATATCAATATACTATTTTACAGAGGTTCACACCAATAAGTTGTAGAGAAGCAGTGGGGCAGTAGTACAGTCCTGTATGTACGGTGCAGTAAAACAAAATTAGGTTAGGCGGCGCAAGGCGTACACCCACATTACGCAAGTGTCACACCTATAACACTACACTTATACTGGTAGGAACCTCCTGGTTACACCAGCCCATAGGGGATTATTGTGTCCGTCCGTCCGTCGTGCAGGGAGGGGCTGGGTGGGGAGGGAGGGGCTGGGTGGGGAGGGGAGGGTGGGGAGGGGCTGGGTGGGGAGGGTGGGGCTGGGTGGGTAGGGGAGGGTGGGGAGGGGCTGGGTGGAGAGGGTGGGGCTGGATGGGAAGGGGCTGGCCCCCCCAATGGTGCCCTTATAAAACTCAACATTTAACCTACTCACGCCGGCTTGTACCCGCCCTCACAGTCAGGCATATTTGCGGAATACACCACGCCGCCGTTGACCCTGGCCATTGACCGAGCAACCCAACGTTCCTACCAGCTCCCTCCGCAGGAATGTATTAACATAACTTAAGACGACACTATAAATAGTATACTATCACGATAGAGCACAAGCACAACGCAATCACAATGGCGGATGTTTACAATTGAGTTTCCGCTAGCGACGCCACTCAGCAACGTCCTGAAGCCTCCATAAACAACGGATCTATGAGAAGTGCAACGGCAAGATGCCGGATGGCCTTCAAATTTTTTCCGGATATGCTAAGGAAGATTTTTATTGCCGTCTATGAAAGATGCCGGTTAATGGAGCATTCTGGATGGTAAAGTGCCGGATAACGGAGCTTTCCCCTGTATTTTAGAAAATAACAACGGAGAATGCTTCATTATTGTAAACAGGGGTAATGTTAAAATTCCAGCACACACAAACGTCTGCTCATGTCCATGATGCTCCGGGGTCACTTAAAGCCCTCGTATAACAGCCAATCCCTTGCTTCGACAACTATTTTCCAATTATATCGTGCCGCTCATAGCGCTTTGGGGCCGAGGTTTGGGGGGTCATACAGAGACCATCATGCGTGCTCAACCACCCAGGTGCAGGGCTATGACTTGACCAGTGCAAGGTGGTACAGCAAGTAGGTTTATGAAGTGCTTGTGTGGATTTTATGGGTATTAACCTCGCATGCGCATTTGGATGGGTGGCTTGCAGCCTTGCGAATCTGGGCCCAAAGGCTCTAGCGGCCGTGACGTCACCCCCTGGCGTTAAGAATACGGTGCGCCTGAAAGTCGCACAGTTGTGAGTCTCCTTTTTTTTAAAATAACAATAAAGCTTCAAACTTGCATCCGAAAGCCCGTGATTCACAGCTCAGATGTCCATCTGCTTTTGTAGGATGCACCTTCCCGTAGCTACTCGGCACACACCTGCCCAGCATGGCGCTGTTGTTGTACACGGGGATGTTGGGAGTGTCCACGTTGTCGAAGGGCCCAAAGTGGCAGTTGGGGGAGCCGAACCACTCGTGGAAGCCATGCCGGAGGGGCAGGAACTGCGGCTGGTGTCCCAGGTGCCTGTGAATTATTTTGTCACAATTGTGTTAGTAAACATGCTAAGGCAATGTCTTTCACAAATTTTCAGAGGGGGGACCACTTTCGTCGATAAGACATCATCAATGTGAGGGCTGCCACACCGTCTGCAAGGGGTGTTTTCACACGTTGTGTATTGTCGGGGGCCGTACGTCAGTAGCCGCACTAAAGGCCACCAGGGGCAGCCAGTGGCTCGTGGGCCTTGAAATAAAGAACACTGCTCTAAGGCCTGTACCATAAAGTGGTGCACAAACAGAGAAAGCAAGGGGGAAGAACAGTGGCACTTGGCTACACTGAAAACAAAAACCAAATAAAATCATTGTATGCTCATCACGTACCATTTCCCCACAATCTTGTTGATGTAGCCAGCATTCTGTAGCAGCTCTGGCAACAGCAGCTCAGAGTCAGGGATACCACCAACAATCTGTTGGGGGGTGTACGCTACACGCATTCGCACACACAAAGTCAAGTCAAATCAAAGAATCTCCACGATGTACGTGCAACAGAACAGGGCTCATATTTCTATCGGTGGCCCTGCCTGGGCCAGTCGTGGCAATTGCTCATTCTGGTCGCAGGCAACAGGATCTCCACAGGACAACCAATGTCGAGTTCCCACAAAGTGGTACTCATTTAACCAACCCTTGAGGAAGTGGCAGGCTGAGAAAAATTCCAATGCACGAGTTGAACCCGAATTGTAAATTTGCACGTGCTAACCACAGCATCATCTGGCCAGATACAAAAACACAAATACATGATGTCATATACAGTCACAAACTGAGTATTCATAATAAAGGTTTTTGGGTTAGATCGCATTATTTATAAATGTGTTGCAACCCTCCACCACCCGACACGGCCAATCAGTAAAAAAAGTGTCATGTTGACAAAAGATAAAATAGATCATTACTTTAGCCCACCGGTGTATTGAAGAGTGAATCCACAACATTTACAATTTCTGAGTACGACGTTTAGCTGGTAATTACATCCAGCATCATCGAGCAATTTGCCAGAATAGTGGAGCCCTCCACCTGCTCCCGGTCTTAAATAGAAAACATTCAAGTGAGTCTCTAGGCTCTGATACAGGAGGAACCTGTTTAAGATGCAAGTGTACATATAATGCACGCGTATATTCTGCATGTACTTATATTTAATATTTTCATTCTGTTGTAATTATATATAATTTTGTTTGCAGGCAGAGCCATGGTTTAAGGAGGGATATGAATCTGGTGCCCTCAGTTTGAGTCCTGGTCATGGCTAAAATCAGTGGCAAGTGATATCTCTACCTTTCAACAACCCTCACACTGACCAGCATGGTGCAGTCTGGGTAGACAGCCCCCAGGACTGATAATACAATGTGGAGGGGGCCAATATCAATCAGTGTACTGACCAACAGCTCCAAATTATAATAAATTTGTGTAATTGCCCATCATATGACGGGTTCGTAACAGTTTTAAGTTAATGAAAATGACTAAAACGTACAGATTGTAGCTATTATTATTTAATTTAAATGTCTCTATATATCACATGTCGTGTAAAATGACGATAATCTCCCAAAACATTTCCTCGAGGTGACTTTTGTTGAATCAGCACTTTGATGTTGGTTGGATTTTTGCATCTTGACAAATTAGTGACAATTTTGATAAGCCTTTCATGAAAAACAAAATATATTTAAAATTATGTGAAAATCCACTAAGCCTACCCAGCGTTACACAGTGTACAGTGTCAGGCGTTAGGCACAGATCACCAAAACTACATTTGTAATTATGTACAAATTATCATAGATTATTCAGTAAGCCGTAAATTATTTAGATATTTTTTTCTGATATAAATATCAAAATGATGAAGCCACTTTGTTGAGCTATGGTTTGTGGCCAGGTCGCTTCTGAAAAATAAGTTAATACCTCAGTGGGCTTTTCCTGGTAGGGTGGGTATGGTTTAGTTGAATCTGTATGCGTTTGGGTGATTTGTTTACCTTTCTTGTACTTTGCACTAATATCGTCTTTTTGTACTGTTTGTTGTTGGAATGTTCTTACCCGCCCCTACTGGACATCTGTGAAAAAAGAGCTTCATAGCTCATCAGATTCCTCCAGTGTAAATATTCTGATTCTGTATTGGGGAAACTAGAGGTTCCTCGGCTGAAAAGCACCGACACAAGATGCAAGTGCCGATAGCAAGCATCCAAATGTGGCCGGCACACCAATTGTGTGGCATACACGCACGACCACCTTTGTCTCTTCACACGTCGCACCCAATATGCAATTAAGGTCGCGTCAACCGAGGGGAAACTCCACGCCATGTTCAGATACCAGTTGCCACTTTCGCTGAGCATCGCGAGTAGCAATCGAACCACGGTTAATGGAAATGCAGCGCGGTAAAGTAACCGCCACACAACCACTCCAAGAGCACACAAAGGAGAATTAACAACAGGATTCGACACGTTCATCGATAACACTGGAACTTAAAAGAAAACAACATATAGAATCGTTGACATTTTAGGCAATCGTCTTTCTCCATGTGAAAGGGCCATCGTATAGTGTGCTTGTGCACCGCTGCCAATGCAGCATCACCAAAGTGATCAGTTTCATTTGTCACAAGACGGAGTCAATTTGATGTTTGTATTCAACTCTTCGGCCAGGTGGTGCTGTGCTAAAGCACTTGGCTTACAATGGGGAGTGTTTGAGTTCAAACCCTAAATAAATATTTGAATTATGATCACAATTGTGGATCAGTGAAGCCCGTCATCGCTCCGTGATCGAAAAATGAGTACGACTTTGCAGAGCATCAACAGGCGGTGTCCTCGGGAAGACCTGGCTCTGTCTAGAGAAACGCAGGATTTCCACCACGGCCTCAGTGCCCCCTGCAGAGGTCAGCACCGACCGCTGCTCGATTTGACTGACAACACCTTGCCCTTCTCCCCCCGCCTCAGAGCAGGGAAGGTGCGCGTTCACAGGGGAGCCACCGCGCCGTGCCGTGTGATTCACCATTGCGAGCGTGTGCGTTGGTCGTGTAGAAGCCATTTCGGATGGGCAGGCGGCCAGAGAGGAGTGAACTTCGCGCTGTGAGCCACAAACACCATCGGGTGGGGTGACGGCAAACGGCGTGTTAGCATTTGTGGCTCATTAGTCCGAGAAGAAAATGCCAAACAAGAATGGTTAATAATGCTCATGTCTTAAGTAAACCCAAAGCACCGAAACATGGGTTTTCAGCCACCCATGATGGCACCTGGTTCTCAACGATAGTAAGCTGTCTCAGCCTGGTCCCCAGTGACCGCGCAACATTAAGTGGAGTTATACCACTCTTCTCTTCTTCACCTCTAGGCCCTTTCAATCTCAAACCGCTCTCCTCTTCGCTCCAATAATGTAAAAAAAAAAACACACTTTTTTACACGCTTTTATTTATTAAAGCGTGTTTTTGTAAAAAGTATTTTTAAAAGTTTTATTCCTAAGTACTTTCAATGCACATCACCCTCGTAGCGTGATACAATGCAGCAGCATTGTGCTACTTTACTAACCTATTGTGCTGTGTTGCTGTGTACCCACGCTATTCATTAATGCCAATTTCTATAGTGCCGTGGCATTGCAAGCCATTACAAGGGCACTGAACAAGCAACATTGCCACTGCCTTGCTGCTGTCATCTGTCCCAGTTCAGCGAAACTTACAGGAGAGTGGCAGGATGTTTGATCGGCGCATACTATATTTAGCAACGAAGTAGAATGTGCGACAGGGTGAGCGTGTACACGAAGGCTGCGTACAGGGCGAGCAGAGCGGGTTGGCCGTGTAGAAATCCGGCAGCAGCATCCCCTCGGCCGCCATGCGGTCGAGGTTTGGGGTCTCCATGGCTGGGTTCCCAAACGCTCCCAGGTCTCCCCAGCCCATCTGCACAGAAGCAGCAGCAAACCATAAAATAGACCGGCAGATGTGGCGAGCACAACCAACATATCCCATGACACCCATCCGTCCGTAGTGCACTAAACTCGATCTTCATCAACAAACTCTTAACGGTTGAAAAACCATCTTGCCTGCATCATCCTTGGCACCGGCCATCCTCAGCTTGAATCCCTCACCTCCTTCCACTCCCTCCGCTGGCTTCTCTTTACCAGATGGGTAAGCTACGAGACCGCCCGCCTGTGCCACCGTGCCTCTACTTTCAGTCGTCCACCTGCTGTGAAAGCATTTAGAGCTTCCTAGCTCACTGGGACCCTCCTGAAGTAGTAAACTCCACTCAACTCCGGATCTCTCTTCGTTATCTCCCCCTGCACTACAGCTCACAGTAGAACTTTGCAGTGCAGGTCACAGCCTCCTCCTCTCTACACCAAGGACTAGGGCCGTCCCTGCCAGGCGTTGTTTCTCGATAGCAGCCCCCACCGTCTGGAATCACGTCCCGCTGCACATTCACAGCATTCAAACTACACCGACTTTTAAGAGACACTTAAAGGTCCCCACCTCTTTCCCCTGCCTTCCGAGCTAAACTGAGCTTGGCTCTGCACCTGAAGTGTCGCGATTAATTACGTCTGTGAAATATTGTGCACGTTACAAACTTACATTTTATTGTTATTAATGTTGTCCATTCAGGGATGCTCCTGTGGTGCATTGGTTAGTGCACTGGACAATTAAATTCGATTTCCTGGCATGGCGGTCAAAACATTGGGCAAGTTTCCTCAATCGCCCTACTTCTATCTGACCCATCAGTAGTTGATACACGATTGGCAGTCACGTTTGGTGGGATAAAGTACGTGTGCTCCCACCTCCTCCAAGCCGTCTGGCCAGCTTGGCAGAGTAGACCAGATACCATATAGTGTCTCTCTAGAGCTCCCTCTAGCGGTGGCCAATCTGCCAGCAGGGGGAGATGAAAGTAATTTCAGGGCTGCACCTTTTCTCTTTGACCCACATCCATTCTTAAACATTTGAATTCACGTCACAACTCTCAACACAAGCGGTCGTCTTTTTTTTTTATACTGTTATTTTTTTTGACCCTATCTACGTGACTTTACCGAAAGACCCAAAAATATGTGTGTTTGTTTAATGTACATGTATCATGTAATATTTTTGTAAAACATATTACTAACGTATGTTTCTTTATAAGAATAGGTTTTACCCTTTCTGGCAACAAAACAGGTGTTCAGATGTTAAAACACCAAACTGAAACCTTTTGCAAGGAATCATGTCTGCATTTTGGCATCCTCTGGTCTAACAAGGTTAGAGACTAGGCTCTAAAGAAAGCTATCTCTGGTGTGGACCAATCAGTTTCAAAGACAATGCATATACTATCAGAGCATTTTTTTGTTTGCATGTTCACCACAAGTATATGTGGTTAATGCAGACATCAATCCTTGCAAAAGGTTTCAGTTTGGTGTTATAACATCTTAACACAAACTGTTTAATTGCCAAAAAGGGTAAAACCTACTCTTATATTTTGATACTGGCAAGGGAGGTCCCATGATGTATTTCTTTTTCACGTAATTATGTTAGAGGCAAAATACATTGGGGGGAAAAGCAAACTTTTATGTTTCCTTTGTGTGCTTAATATTTTATCAAACAAAAATGGAAAGTTCAGTCAGCTGAGAAGCTTGATATTGATCAAATCCAAGAGAGTTATAATAGATGTCCCAATTTTTGATTGCAACATTAATCCCCACGCCGACGGATATCTCAATATTCTCCGGATATGCATGTCAGCCTATTTCTACGGCGTCTTGAGGAGCAGTTAGTTGCACTTGGCTGCACTCATAATCCAAAACCGAATTGCAAAAGCACAAAAAATGTACACATTTCTGTGCATTTGCCTTCAAGCACCTCAAAAGCGCTCTACATAAGTTATGCAATAATATTTTTGTCTTCCAAACCAGACACCCTTTAACTGAAAGCTTTGGTGGACATAAATACCTGGCATTGCTTTCTATAGCTCTGCAGAGTTGCAGCGAGACACCTCTCAAACGCAAAGGCGTTCCAGAATTTTGGTCCTTCCACTGAAAAAGTGTGATCTCTGGTTCTTTTGAGACAATGCATTGGAAAATCATCATCATGGCTTGGCTTCGCGAACGAAGATCTAGGAAGGACATCCACGTCTTCTGCAAGCACCATGGTGGCTGACGAGGCCTATGCGGGACAAGCAGGTCCTGCCACAATGGCTGCAAGTATAGGTCTCATCTGGGATGGGTGCTGAGGGATCATGGTTCTTCCTCCTCCTTTTGTCCTCCATACGGGCCCTGCGGGTATCTTCGAAGAAGGAGGTGGCCTGGTGGACTGTGTGCCGCCAGGAGTTGCGATCAGCTGCTTGTGTTGCCCACTGACGGTGATCGATGCAGCAAGCAGTGAGGGACTTCTTCAGGGAGTCTTTGTATCGCTTTCGTGGTGTCCCTATGTCGCGATGGCCAGAGGACAGTTCCCCATACAGCACAATCTTAGGTAAGCATTGGAAAATAACTAAGTGCCAATCCAGGGGGCTCACAGATTCTGCAACGGAATAGAGGGCACCACTTGGCTGGGGGAACCCTGTTATTTGAGCATGTAAATTAGAAAAGCCCAAACATGATTCAGTAAGCCACACATGATTCTTCCAGGGTCGGTAAGATAAGTATCACTCCGAGAGATGTCAACCGAGACCTTTAGAATGTCCACAAATGACTAATTGGCCATCAATGATACCGAGCACTGGCCCACAGGACAGGTGGACAGTTGACTTCCCCACCCATCCTTGCCGGTCATCTCCCCTGCCTCCGCTAAAGCCCAGGGCTCAAGACCTTTATTTTTTTTCTCTATGACTGACTGCCTCTAGAAAACAATCACGCCGATTTTGTACGGTATCTCAAAATGCGGCTGCATTTACGCGCTACACGAATCCAAATTGTATTATACAGTTAACATCTCGCCACGCTGGCGAGATGTTAACTACCTCGCCCGATATGCAGGAGGTTGTGGGTTAGATCCCGACTGACACCTGTATATTTGGAGTTTGCATGTTTTCCACGTGGTCGTGTGGTAGAGTATTTGGCCGCTATACATTTCCACACGATAAGCCACTTCATTGGGCTACCATTTGTGGCCAGGTCGCTTCTGAAAAATATCTGTATAGTCAGTGGGCCTTACCTGGTAAAATAAAAAATAGTTTAGTTTTTAGTTTAGATTAATTTGCATCTCAGCATGAGCGTGCGTGACCTGTGGTGTAGTTGCTGGCCATAGGTACAGTACTCACGTCGTCCATTAGCATGATGATGATGTTGGGCTTGGAGCTGGAGGCCAGACCCAAGCACAGCGAGCATAGGAGCACAACCACCACCCCACACATTGCGGCACGTGCCTGTGAATGGCAAGCACAGAAACAAACAGTTCAACTCTTGAGATGTGGAATCAGTATTGAGCCGTCAATACTCTTATTCCACGTTTATCTTCTCAGAGGGGGTCCCAGCATTGTGGAAATAACCTTGATTTCGATTTAAAGCTTTCGTGACTGCAGGGATTCATCTTCTTGGTTCTTTCGGTAAAGTCACGTAGAAGGGAAGTAATAAAATAATAAAAATAAAACATAATAAAATAAAATAATTCTCACGACGGCTGCTTGCGTTGTAGCCGAAACGTCGTGAGAATTATTTTATTTTATTATGTTTTATTTTTATTATTTTATTACTTCCCTTCTACGTGACTTTACCGAAAGGACCAAGAAGATGAATAACCTTGATCTTTCAAGATACATATCCGTTGAATTTACTGAAAATTTCGTGATGGAATTGCAACAACAAAACACATATTGGAAGCTCCTAGAAGAAAACTGGCTAGGAAGTAATGGAGTTTGTAACGGATGGGTCAATTGTGGAGGACGGTAAGGGGGCTTGGTTATGGAGACCGGCACTGGAGTGGCACCCAGAGGTCAGAGATGAAGTGGAAGACCTAACGCCGGACGAAGGTTAAAGTTTAATTTTTGGATTTAAAGCTTTCGTGACTGCAGGGATTCATATTATTGGTTCTTTCGGTAAAGTCACGTAGAAGGGAAATAATAAAATAATAAAAATAAAACAATAAAATTCTCACGTTTAAAAAACCTGCCACTTTTTTCAAAAAATGTCTTGCTGTGGTTTTCACACCTGATGATGATTGCTTGCGTTGCAATCGAAACGTCGTGAGAATTTTATTGTTTTATTTTTATTATTCCCCTTTTACGTGACTTTACCGAAAGAACCAAGACTATGTTAAAGTGTATTTTTTTACCGGGTGAGGACTCAAGAGCTAGGTAGTTTAATTTGCAGGAATTGACCAGGGTCACCAAAATGTACAGAATCAAACGGCACAGCCACGAAACAAATAGAAATCAAGAGCATAAGCAGCTGTTACATGAGAAAACGTGGTGTGACTGTGATCCGTAAAAATCCCACTAAGGTCGGGTGTCCGTCATGCAAGAACTGCGGTGATGGCAGGAGGAAGTGAGGACCACCCCCAACATTGCAAAGCTACGTGCAAGTGCACATCTTCACACCAAATACAAATATCCCCCGTGTAGCCTTAGCAGACCGTTGGAGGCAAGTGCTATTTGCGAGCACCTATGGAGGCCTGCATGACACATGGGTGGTGAGAGCCACGCCCGGCCGCCTTTGCCTCCCCAGTGTAGATGTTTACACACTACTCATTTAAGGCTGAGTCGACCTACACAAGTGGACCACACTACACACACATTTCAGACGCCAGCGCGTCTTCCAGCTATGGACCGTCCTCATCTGCACTGACAGATCCGAGGCAGTGAGTGGAAATTCCACATTCGTGTGACGGCTGGGAAACCTAATTCTTCCACGGTCGATATACAATACGCATCTGCACAAGGCGACAACACACCCGACAAATGTAAGCAAAAATGTATTAATACAACACACGGCGCCTGTGTATAATAATAATTACATCTGTATAGCAGCGCTGTTCATCAAGAATCTCAAAGCGCTGTACAGAACACAGCCCCAGCAGACACTCGATATACAAATTTAATGAATACATTTTTTTTAAATAACAATAAAATACAATTTTAATAATGGGAAGCGTATAAATAGGTTTGAAGGCGCATTTTTTAAATGTCCACAGACTCAGAGATCCCTCTGATATTTCGTAGAAGAGCGTTCCATAGCCTGGGGGCTACACGGGTAAACATCTCGAGTCACCCCATAGGGGGCCATCCATTGAGTCCGTACGCACAAATCTGTCAAAACTTGACCCCTCCCCCCCTCCCTGTACGCACGCGGACTTTTTTATACCCCCCCTGCCACCTACGAGACCTATAGAACGGCCGATATTTAATCCACGCAGAAACGACCAAGGATTAACAATATTAACGTGTTTAAGCACACAGATAGTCCACCGCCGGCTGCACTAAAGAATGAGGTTGCGTACCTTTAAAAAGGTGTGTCTCGTGTCCGCTAGCTTCAAACGCCGGCTGAACCCAGTCGAACAGGTGACGTATTATATCGGACTTTCATCATCACGCGCGCGCAATGTGTCGGGCTGAATAGCAGCAAGGCCAATGACGGCAAATTATCGAGGCTTCACCACCCCCCCCCCCCCCCCCGTTTCCTATGCGTACATTGTCAGTAGACCTCCCATACACGAGCGTACGCATTTGGCTTAACCCCCCTCCCCCCTCCATACTAAATGGATGGCCCCTAGACCCAAGCCGCCTCGACCTGGGAAAGCAGATCCGCATCATGGCCAGATCGTAGGGACCTGGAGGGGACACGTGGGTTCCCAGCATGTGTGCAACGTTGTTAAAGCTTCCTCTCCACATCAAGCAATCGAGCCCCTCCCACCCCATCTCCGCTCCTCCCTCAAGACCTCAAACCTCTTCCTCCCTGGCCCCAATCCTTCCCCTCCATCCCTAGGGTCCACCCCCATGGCCCCAATCCTTCCCCTCCATCCCTAGGGTCCACCTCCATGGCCCCCATCCTTCCCCTCCATCCCTAGGGTCCACCCCCATGGCCCCAATCCTTCCCCTCCATCCCTAGGGTCCACCCCATAGCCCCATCCTCCTTCCCTCCATCCCGAGGGGCCACCCCCATGCCCAATCCTTCCCCTCCATCCCTAGGGTCCACCCCCATGGCCCCAATCCTTCCCCTCCATCCCTAGGGTCCACCCCCATGGCCCCAATCCTTCCCCTCCATCCCTAGGGTCCACCCCCATGGCCCCAATCCTTCCCCTCCATCCCGAGGGTCCACCCCATGGCCCCAATCCTTCCCCTCCATCCCGAGGGTCCACCCCCATGGCCCCAATCCTTCCCCTCCATCCCTAGGGTCCACCCCCATGGCCCCAATCCTTCCCCTCCATCCCTAGGGTCCACCCCCATGGCCCAATCCTTCCCCTCCATCCCTAGGGTCACCCCATGGCCCCAATCCTTCCCCTCCATCCCTAGGGTCCACCCCCATGGCCCCAATCCTTCCCCTCCATCCCTAGGGTCCACCCCCATGGCCCCAATCCTTCCCCTCCATCCCGAGGGTCCACGCCCACCACCACCCTCATTCCCGTAGCCACGGACCCCACGCGCTCCCCACACCCCTCCACACGCCCTCCCCGTAGCCCCACTTCGTACCCAGCGTCATGGCACCACCCCGTGTTGGTGGAGTCAGCATTGGGGGGGACCAAATCTTCCAGGGTGTCTGGGGGTCCCAACCCAGAAAAAATTAACCCGTAAAAACAAAGTTTTTCACTCTAAATCCTTAATATGCGTGGCGGCTAGAGTCCTCTCGTCCTCTGGCTTGAGATGGCTGCCACCTATGGGTCAGATGATTGTCTGCCAGCATTAAGCAATTGGTAATTAAATATTTTTTTTAAAAATCCCTAAACAGTGTAAAATTTTGGAAAAAAAAATGTCACGCAAATTAATTGTCACGCACAACGAGTCTGTGTGGAAAATGTCAGCTCGATTGGATCACAGGAAGTGGGTTAAAAAAGACCGAAAGATTTGCACGGTCGTAAGCAAGCAAGCAAGCACGCAGCAAGCAAGCGAACTTAATATAAAGGATTTAAAAAGATCTGAATTTGAAAACTCATTTCCTACCTAAAATATTTAAAAATTCACTAACTCATGGGATGGACTTTTTTTTTACAATGTCTAAGAGTGTATTGTATTACATTGCTGTTTTTACTTGTTTACCATTTCTTGTTTCATTGTATGTAATGGCAGAGATTAGGGATTAATAAAGGACAACCAAAACCACAATAATATAAACAGAAATCTATGCATTGATTTATATGAAGACAGCCCAGATATTGTGGCCAAGGTTTAGCAAATTGTTGTTTTTATTTACATAGCATAGCAATTAATTTTTTATAGCAAAATATTGGGGGGGGGGGGGCATTTTGAGCATACTGTATTTGAATATTGCTGTGTGTCCCCCAATATATACTATAATTATATTATAATTACGGCCTTGGCTAGAAGCGCCTTAGAGCCAAAGGCGCTGTGTGTGCACGTGGAGGCGAGACAACTCGCGCCGACAATCGAGGAAGTGCGGTGGCTTGCTGCTGGCACGCGAAGCAGTCGCCAGTTCACGCGCCTCGACTAAACGCAGCGGCCCCGAATCAACATCGATTATCCCCGCAGTGAATGAACAACAACAACAACCGCGGAGTGAATGAACAACAACAACAACCGCGGAGCGAACCGAGACACGCACACTCAACTCGCAATCACTGCGCCACCGCTCCTCCACGATTCACCACCCGTCGATCCGCCGTAGGATCGATTTCACTACTACAATACTCACCCCCCAACATCGCCCCACGCCGAATCGATTCCAAGTCACGATTCGACAACTCACCCGCGGCAATGCCCTACAAGTAATAATCGATTATTTAATCGCGAGTACGGCGGAACGATGCCCGTCGATTCTTAGCGCGTGACAGATCACGTGACGGTCGAAGCCACGCCCTCCCCCGGGTGACGTCACCGCGCGAAGGCGGAAGTGGAGGGAGGCCCCTCCAGCATGGCGGTGTGCGTGGCTGTGGTGGCGAAGGAGGTGGGGATCTCTGTTCTGACTCTCCTCTCTGCCCTGGAAAGCTTCGATCACTCGCTTGACTCTGTTTGTTCTTTCAGGAGGGTGCTGGCTATGTTCCCACACACTCCATCCCCCCCCCGCCGCCGCAGTTACCCAACACGGTACTGTCTTTCCATCAATGAGAGGGGTTGTTTTGCTTGTGGGGTCAGGTCGCGTAAATATAAATGTTGCGACGTTCAACCCGCCACCACCCGACACAGACAGTTATTAAAGGTTTGTCACGTAAACAAAACGTGGCCGATTCGTTGCTCGTACGGCACACCGGTTGTGTGTTGGGGGAGTGAACCCACCGCAGCAACATTTACGCGATCCTAACCCAAAAAAACACCTCTCTGTTACGGGATAACATACATTGCTCGCGAAAGCCGACGACGCGCTGTCACTACCTTCCTTTCTTTCCAACCAACTCATTGTGTGGCCATTTCTTTTGGTTTCAATTTTTAGCAAGTTTTGGGAATCGCGTGACGCTGGCCCCGCCTTTGCGGATCATGTCGCCGGGAGCTTGTTGGTGTTTCCACGGCGTGCGGGAGGCGGGTGGCTCGCATCGGCTTCGATTTCAATGGCACGCAGTGTTAGTCGGTGGTGGGGTGGGTGGGGGGGTTGACGAGCCTCTGGGAAGTCGAACCGTGAAGCTCTGCGACACACAAAGCGACGATCACTAGAACGATCGACTCGGACCATGCGACGTTTATGTTTGAAAAGACAACGCGAAGCGTGTTGGTGTGTGTATATTATGTGTGCTGCTCTTTAGTTCAGCAGTGCCCCGTGGGGTTTTGCATGGAGCCGCTCTTGTCAGTGACGTCTCGTGAACTCTGCACGAGTTGTTTTAGCGAGCCCTGGCTCACGTTCACACGTTCAGACCCCCAAAAAGGTCCAAACGTGTCCAGAGGTCCCCACCCCGTGGTTAAAAGTTAAGGTCGCTGCATTAAAATTGGTCTCTCATACTCGTTGGTTTTTTCGGTAAAGTCACGTAGGTAAAATCAATTAAATCACGACGTTTCGGAGGCAACACAAGCTTCCGTCTTCAGGTGGAACCGTCACAGCAAAATTACTGTATCAAGTGAGAATTACTGTATCTCATAGTCACGAAAACTTAAAATCTAGAATTGGTCTCTCAAGCCAAAACATAGACTGGTGCAACAAAACATCGTTATATGTGAAGGCAACGGAGATTCAGTCCTTATTGGTCACCCCGTGTCCTTATACATATCAACGTTCATCATACGAAGTCCCATCGCAAGGGAGAAACACAAACAAATAAAAAAAAAATTTGCCCGTATTGAAACGGATTTACGGCTGAGTTTTCAGGTCCAGAAATGGCTGTAGACGGTGTATGCGTGTTGATTTTGTTAAATAATGGTGCTCGTCACAAACCCCAAAACAAACGACTCGTCGATAACCACCACCTGGGCTGCGTGTCCGACTTGGGTGCATTCGAAACGAGTGTTGAAACTACGTTTAATAAGTAAAAACATATAACACTTTCAAGTTACGGTCTGGTACATTATATTTACAGAGCTCCGCTGTCGCTTCCGCCTCTGCACCTCTCGCGGCAGCGAAACCATGAATCTCTCTGGGCCTGACGTTGATGGCTTTGGCAGGTGTTCATCCAGCAGTGGATAGTTAATGGCGGCTCCTGATGATGATACTCTAGTCACCTCAGAGGGTTGATGGCGGGTAAACATAATATTTGTGTTGTGGGAGGCAGTTAGCGTGAATGACGCTGTATAAAATGTAATTATTATTATTCGGGATGTGGTGGTTATAGGTTAGATGTTGTGACGTTATGGGTGAGGTTAGAAACCAGCGATGGTTTTGTTGCATAGGTAAAAAAAAGGTTAGAAACCAGTGATGATGTTTTGTGGCATCGATGGCGGTGGCCACGTTGGCCTCTCGACCTTTCCGCCGAAGATAATGAATGCGACGCTTACCCGTAATGTGGCTCCGTGTCTCGTACGGGTTTTGTTTTAACACGTCCATCGCAGAACTACCCGCTGTACATCCGCAACGCGCCGCCCAGCAACGAGCTCAAGTTCCACTACACGGTGCACACCTCGCTCGATGTGGTCGAGGAGAAGATGGCGGCGGCCGGGAAGTCTGCGGGAGACCTGCGGGAGCTCTACCTGGGGCTGCTGTACCCCACCGAGGACTACAAAGTGTATCCTGTCCTCCCTGCCTGGCCGCTCGCAAGCCCAGAGGGGGGGGGGGGGGGGGGGGAGTCGGATCTGCAGATTGGCTTCCTGCTGATCGTCGACCCCGAGTGGGAGTCAGATCTGCAAATTGGTTCTCTGCTCATCGATCCCCGAGGGGAGTCAGATCTGCTCGTCAGAATCTTTACGCTATCTTTATTCAGAATATTGGTTTATTCTGGAGAAATCCGATGAGCTACCAAGCTCGTTTTCACACAGATGTCCAGTAGGGGCACAGGGTTAGAAAGTCAC